TCATCAAAAATCATATTACTTATCATCATTGTCTGTTATGTAGATGATCACCAAAGAAATTTAGTTTCTCTTATACATGTTCCTCATAGTTATCATGTGCAAAGAATGGCACAACATATAATAGATCTGGGCAATGGTATATTTTTAATGATTTTAGGTGGGTGTTCAGTTGAAACCGACAATTAATTGTGGAAATGTAAAAATCTAATTTTTTTTTGAATCTATATTTCTCCCATTTCGCCAAATGAGGCTGTTTGGTTTAGTCTTGACTGGAAAGTACCTTGTGTTCTGTTCTATTCTAGTTACGAATTGTGTGAAACAATCCACATTTAGAGCTTTTGCCACCAATTGTCAATCCTCTTACCCAGGTAACTTTATCATTACATTATTAAGAATTATTAATATTTGTTTATCTCGATATTCTTGCTAGGATATTTTCAATGAGGATATGTCCTCGTTAACTCGACGCTCGCCATATTCCATAATGGATCTCATTTTACGTGGAAGCCTTTGGGAAGACAAGAGCCCCAAAGCGCGGACAATTGGTTGCGATGGATGCAGAATTTGTGACCCTAAATCCTGAGGAAGCAGAATTAAGAAGTGATGGAAAACTGGCTACAATTAAACCTAGTCACATGTGTTGCGAGAATAACTTGTATAAGGGGGTAAGCATGATCGATTTATGATACTGATTGTTTACCTATACCTTGTATCCCGACTTACGAGCGATCCGACATACGAGTGTTTCGAGATACAAGGCGCTCAAGCAGCGAGATACGTTGCTTCGATACGATATACGAACTTCGAGCGAGTATAAGTTTTCTAGAAAAATGTTAATGGTAAAATGAAAATATGAACAATTTTGTCAGTTTTCCCACCATAAAATTATTTTGGCTGTTTTATGATAGTAGATTATTTTGATAATTCAATTTTGATTCAAAATATTGTCATTCACATTGTGCAATATATGCAATTGTTGCTTTTACAGAGAAGGACCTGATGAAGGCACTCCATTTATAGACGATTATATAAGTACACAGGAACAAGTTGTCGATTATTTAACTAAATTTTCTGGTATACAGCCTGGAGATCTAGATGCAAATTATAGTTCGAAACATTTGACAACACTAAAGAGCACATATCAAAAGTTACGATATCTGGCTGATACTGGAGTGGTTTTTGTTGGTCATGGATTGAAGAATGATTTTCGAGTTATTAACTTAATTGTCCCCCCAAATCAAGTTGCTGATACTGTACATCTATTCCATTTACCGCATCATAGAATGGTGTCTTTACGATTTCTAGCTTGGCATTTTCTTGGTGAGTGATTGACTTATTACTAATTTTTTTTTTTTACTTTGCCAAGAATGTTTTCTGCAGCAAATTTGATTTGCTAATTTTAATTTCTCGACGTTTCAATTTATTCTGAGACGTTTGAGACCGTATTAGAAATTCAGAAACGTTTTAGAAATAGTATGTGAGAAATATTTAACAAATAACGAATTTTTTTTGACGATTTTTGATCAAACTTGTATAGTGATAGTTTTTATAGTCTGATATAACATACTAAAATGTTATTGGACTACGATAAGTGGTTACCACTATTCCTACCGGAACCGGTCAAATGACCGTTTTTGATTTTTCGATTAGTATTTTTCATATCAAACGTAATTGAATCGTCATCAAACTTCATGACTTTTCCTAATATGTGAGTATGATACATTTTTCAATGTAAATTTGTTTTTTCAATTTTAATTTTTGGAAAAAAAAATTGTATACTGTCTTACGAAAGACGATGTTCGGACGGCATTTTTTGTAGTAATTGTTAAGAATATGATCGAACTTACAAGAAAATGTAAATTCAGAGGGATTTAGAGTGGTAAAAACTGCCTTCTGCAAATGTATATGCATTTTTTCCAATTCTGTATGCACGCTGCGCATATGAGGCAAGGAGTATAAATATTGCACTTCTACGGTATACAAAGTGGGTTTTCTCATTTTTGCTCAATGTCTATGTGTAGACAGATTTTTACGAAGGAATCCAAACAACAAATTGATAGGTTTTGTTTTGAATCCAAAGGTTGTTCAACTACCTTGACAGCAATCAAAATTGTTGTAAAAGACCATGTATTACTATCGACAAACATATATTTTCAATAAAGGTAAGGTGTAAATTTATTCAATACATGTTCAATAATATTCAGGAAAACGTAGTATAAAATTTAGTACTGTTCAATATACAATGTAAATATAATTATGCCCAGCAAATCGCGCAAATGGGGTGTAAAATTTTGATAACCATCCAGTATACATAGAAAACTGAGAATTTCTTTGGAGATTTATAACCAATGAACCGTATAAAAAATTTAAGCGTTTCTTACCATCCTACTTATAGCTAAACTTTTAGTAAAGAAAGAAACTGTGATGGTAGGTACAATTGAAGCAATATAACAGCTACAAATACTGGTAGAACTAAAAATCACGGATTTCACTCAAATAATATTTACATTTTGGAAGCTAAGATAGAAGATTCTAATTTTCACTTACATACGCATATGTTGAAAAAATTAATTTCTATTTTAATTAACTTCCCGTATAGTTCCAACAAGAAATCAGAAAAAAATCAACTAAGTATTATACCAGATATGTATTCCAGATAATGTTCAGAAAGATGATAGGGCGAACAAAATCAGCCAAAAACGTAAAAAATGCGTGTGCAGTAAATACACTCTAAGAAAAAAAAATCGTAAAAAATTTGATAAAACAGAATAAAATGTAGATTTCGCATTCTAAAATGAAGAAATATTTTGTATTTGTATTTATAAACTCTTAAACAGTCCATTTGAACCGGTCCGCGGTAGGAATAGTAAACATAAAATGTCGGTAGGAATAGTGTTAAATTATAAAAAAATTTCAAAGTGTAGAACTTTTTGGTAAGCTTGAGAGATTCTAATCTGAATCTATGCCATATCTTCAAATATATTTTGAGAATCCGATATGGATGAAATGAAATGTGTTAAACACAAATTTAAGTCAAAAATCAATATTGAAAGTATATTGGAAAGACATCAATAGAAACTTGTATTGATTGTATTTTAGTGAAAACGAACATTTTATTTTTGAATAACAATAGAACAATTTGCCTCAAGGCAAAAAACTGCTTACAACTAGTTGAATTCCACTTCCATACAGAGACAACGTGAACTAGTGGTGCATGGCATAGCGCCACAAGGCAAATTGCTGGTCATTTGTCAATACAAGTAAAATGGTTTTTTTGAATAATTCAAATAGGACGCTGCGATCTCCCAAAAACTTTAATTTTATTTTTTGGCTCTTTTTTGCCTTGTATCTTCGAAACGGCTGGATCTGTCTTTGCCAAAAACTAATAAGCAGGTGTTATCAATAGGAATCAAATATTTTTTAAAGGATTTAAACCTGTTGATTCGTATTCCCAAAATCGTCGATAAAAATAGTATCCGCACATATAAACACACACACACACTCACACACAACATGCATACATACATGCATACATACATGCATTTTTTCTAAGGTATGCCAAAATGTTCAGAAACCTCTGAAACGTAAAGATATATCAAAATTTTTCTACAGGAAGTTAATTATTCTGAAACTTTTATTTCAAAGGAAAAGTTGTTTTATTGTTTTATTTTCGACATCTGAAGTCGATGTGAAACAGACCAGAATATTTCATATAAGTTCAAAGTATAATACTGAATATTAAAAGTAAATTACTAATTATTATTCAGGTATTAGAATACAATCTGTGACACACGATTCAGCTGAAGACGCGCGGGCCGCGTTGCAACTATACAAACATTATCTACAATTGGAATCATCTGGTACGATACTCAGTGCTTTACAAAAACTATATGAAACTGGCAAAAGATTATCTTGGAGAGTCCCCGATGAATAAACAAAGCAACTGAACAATATATGAGATTGATAAAGCAGCGAAATAAAAAAGCTTGTGATTATGTCACAATCACAATATTACGATAAAGTTTGTAAACGAGTGTATATATGAAACATTTTTTATGTGTGTAAATTTAGAGAACTATGGAACTTTAATTTTTTATAAATATAGATTATGTATATTTTTGTAAGTATTCGTCCCAAGTGATTTTAGTTAAGGTATTATTATAGTAATTTATTATTAGTTGATGATGATATAATTAAATATTGTAACAGATAAAGTTTTAGTTGTATTACATCTGATACTTTTGTGTTGTTGTTACTGCAGTATTTTTTTTTACTAATTATGTGCAAATATAGTTGTAATTTATTTTACAAAATGTTCACGGACACAAATTTTAGAAATTGTACTATGGTTATTTTTAAGATATGTAAGGATTTTTATATTGATATACTTTATTTGTACAATATTGATCTCTTCCTATTTAATTTTTATATTGTATATAATGTCATAGTTCTATATGTATATATTTGGTGTATGGTACTTCAATTATTTTTAAATTAGTATTAATGACATCTCTGAATGTGCGTTCCAATAAATAAAATATTTATTTATACATTTTTATATAAAAATAAATGTTTCAACTAATAAATTGTTTTATCATTTACCATTAATTTATTTAAATATCCATAAAAAACTTATTGCTGGCATTGTTCATCAAGGCAAATTGCTGGAACTTTCCGTATCGTAACGAAATGTTCGAGGAATATTAAATGTTTTCAAATAGATTATTATAAACACTGTAAACTTTTCCAATATTTATAAGAATTATATAAACTGAATTACAAAGTTAAAATTATTTAAAGTTTATAAGTGATGCTTAGAACTTTAGCCAGAATTAAAATTAAAATCCGAATTATTTTAGATATACAAAAAAAAAAAATTTAATTTTTTTTCCAAAAGCAATTATTTTGTCAACACAAGCAGAAATTTTTTGAATCATTCAAATCGGATGCTCAAAAACTGCCATTTCAGGTACATTTAGCTCTGTATCTTCTAAATGGCTGGACTTGCTTTTGCCAAAAACTAATCTCCACTTCCCCCAATCATTAAAAATTGAATGTATTTTGGATCATTTAAATCGGATGCTCAGTTCTCTCAAAAACTCGATTTCTATTTTCAGCACTCTTTGCTCTTTATCTCCGTAATGACTGCACCTGCCTTTGCCAGAAACTAATCAGCACATCTCCCTATCAAAAGGAATAGAATTTTTTTGAACCATTAAAATCGGTTGATCCGTGCGCCCGAAAACGTGGACGAAAAAATGCGAACACAAAACACACACATACATCCATTTTTTCTGAGGTATGCCAAAATGTTCAGAAACCTTCAAAACGTGAAGATATGGAAACATTTTATTTTCATCAAGGTGAATTATTTTTTTTAATAACAAAAACAGTAACTATTATGACATATTCATAATTTCATTTATTCATTTATTTTCTTTCAATCTTTTTTCACATTTACATGAATTTTTGTTTGTTTTCACAGAATTGTATCATGCATTTTTCTTTCTCAAATTTGTTATAAATTATTGAAAATGTTATTTACAAATCCCATGTGGCAAATTCTCAATGCAATGAATCTAAAATGGAATATAATGAAATAGAATTTATTCTACCTAATTACATTTATAAAATTATCTTCTTTGAATTTTATTTAGATTTTTTTGTATTTACAAAAAATAAAAATTAATATAAATATATATTATATATATTTATATATATATATTTATTTATTTGCTATATATTTAATATAGCAAAAATTGTTTTTAAATAAAATTTTAGTTTTTTTTTTTATTTACAGGTTTTATTTTTAGATAATAAAAACCTAATTAGGAGTATCCCGTACCATACTCTTTTTACTTTCATAAAATTTGTTTTTATTAATATTAAATTTGATTTTATTTTAGTATCGTCTAATAATACGAATTCTCTTTCTATCCGTTGATGAATCGTCTTCAGAATCGATTGATGGTCTTCTGGAGCCGGTAGGAGATTCTCTTATACCAGAACTGACTGCCCACACTGGCACGGAGCTACGGCGTAGCAAAAGTGACTTTTTGGTACCTATATAGATTTAAAATAATGTTTGTTATTGATGATTGATAACTAATATGTTTTATAAGGATTTATAAATAGCTAAAGGCGGTTTTCTGGTTTTCTGGTCTAGATTTAAAAAAAAAATCGCGTTTTAATCGAAGCTGTTTGTTTCGATAAGATATCCACGATTGCTCAAGATCTACTGGACTGGATTTACTTGACACCTTCTAGTATCACAAAAGTTGTATTTTTTCAGACAGTCACATTTTGAAAAGAAACTTTTTAATAAGCCCTCTAGCTCTCCCTGGATTTCAGCTGATATCGTGTTCATTTACAGGTGCCAATTTTTTGAGATCTTCCACTTTATCTTTTTCTTTTTTCGAAATTTTCAGAATATAATTTGATTATATTAACTTTTTTATATTACAACAATTATTATTTATTTCAACGGTGATCAAAACTTGAGAGTCCTAAAAGATACCGTGACGATTTTTACGTAAAATATAATATAAATTTGAGTATAAATATATTTGGTAAACACAGTTCGAAAAGGTACAGGTATTCTAAATTTTAGTATTGTACTTGAAATCGGACTGTAATGTCTAAAGTTTTTTTTTTACTGCTACCAATGCTTACTCTGAGCATTTAGCAACCTACAACATTTATTTAAATTCTTTACTAATTTTTATATTATACTTCTTTCTTTTCATACTTTCTTTCTTTTTACATAAATCCTATTCTTCTTATACTACATACTTCCTTTCACATAAATCCTATTCTTCTACTTAGTTTTTTTTTTCAACTTCATTCTTCATTCTTCCCTTTTTATCTTCTTACTTCTTTCCACTATATCATTTTTATTTTTATTTCTAATTCAATTTCTATACATTCTAACACAAAATTTTTTTTTGCAAAAAAAAATTGAAACAAATTCTTTTTTCCAAAAGCAATTATTCTGTTGAAACAAGCAGAAAGTTCTTTGAATCATTTAAATCGGACACTAAGTTCTCTCAAAAACTGCCATTTTTTGCGCATTTAGCTGTGTATCTTTGAAATGGATGGACCTGCCTTTGCCAAAACTAATAACCACTTTTCCCCGTCATTACGAACTGAATGTTTTTTGGATCATACGAATCGGATGATCCGTTCTCATAAAAACTCGATATCTATTTTCTGCACTCTTTGCTCCATATCTCCGTAACGGCTGGACCTGCCTTTGCCAAAAACTAATCAGCACATCTTCCTATCGATAGGAATCAAATATTTTTTGAACCATTCAAATCGGTTAATCCATGCGCCCGAAAACGTGGACGAAAAAATGCGGACATACAAAACACACACACAACACAACACACACATATCCATTTTTTCTGAGGTATGCCAAAATGTTCAGAAACCCTCAAAACGTCGAGAAATGTAAAAATTTTTGTTTTCGATTTTCGGCCCTTTACTATAACTACCCTATGGGAAGTTAGTAATAACTATATTTAAAGCGAAATCACAATCCTGTTCAGATGTTGAGCGTCATTGTCACAGTCTTGCCGCATTAATCAGTTTAAACGTGTACCGAACATTCGAAAGTTTATTTTGAGGGTTGTTTTCTCTCGGTTGTTTTTTTTTTGAGACTTATCATTGTTATTTGAAATTATTTCTATTACAACCAATTAACTATTGCCCGTACTGTAGTGATATCGATCAAATTTTTTGCACTAATCAAGTATTTGATAAAATTTTGTTAATTTATTCATTATATTCACTTTCGGATAATTTGACTTTCTAATACAATAGATAAAAATGACAGCACTATTTTGCAAGAACTACAGGATAGTTCAATCGAGGCAAAAAAATAATAAAATTGAAACCTGTAGAATTTGATATTTTTATAATTATATTTTATTAATATTTTTTTGTTTAATTACCTATCGGTTTGTCTCTATTGATGACCATTCCTGATCCGTCGACCGTGACCTGTTTTTGGGCAGTCGAATAGCGTCGATTAAAAGAAATTCGGGATTCCCTGCGAGCGTGCTTGGTCAGCGACATGTTGGCCAAAGAAAATTTTCTTTCCAATTCTTCTTCCTTTTTCAAGTGGCGAATCTTCATGTTCTACAAAGATTGTTATTAGAAAATAATATTGTAAAGTAATAATATTTTTGCTAAAATTCTATAGTGGCATAACATAATAATAAATTGTTATTAGTATAACTATGATGTTAATTACAAATTAGCAATTAGTAAAGCCAATACATCAATCACAACATTTTGTGTGTTGTATCTTCCAACTTTAAATTTTGGTCACAATTTTGGTAAGACACAATGACAACGTGTGCCAAGTTTCATCAAATTCCCAACATGTGTTTTTGAAAACATACCACCATTTGTTTAAATATTAGTATTGATCGCGGAGCCAGCGATCCATCAACCACGCATCTCGAAAAGTATTGAATGTCCCATTTTTAAATTTTGGTCATATTTTTGGTAAGGTACAATAACAATGTGTGCCAAGTTTCATCAAAATCCCAACATGTGTTTTTGAAAACATACCACCATTTGTTTAAATATTAGTATTGATCGCGAAGCCAGCGACCCATCAACCACGCATCTCTAAAACTATTGAATGTCCCAACTTTAAATTTTGGTCATATTTTTGGTAAGGTACAATAACAATGTGTGCCAAGTTTCATCAAAATCGCAACATGTGTTTTTGAAAACATACCATTATCTGTTTAAATATTAGTATTGAGCGCGGAGCCAGCGACCCATCAACCACGCATCTCGAAAACTATTGAATGTTCCAACTTTAAATTTTGGTCACATTTTTGGTAAGGTACAATAACAATGTGTGCCAAGTTTCATCAAAATCGCAAAATGTGTTTTTGAGAACATATTTATAACATGATAGGATTAAATAAAAATGCTTATTCTAAAATGATT